ATACTTGTATTCAGATGTAGAAAAGCACAATTAAATAGCGCATTAAGTATTATTGTATACTTTGGAATTTTTGAGGATAGTCATGTTTGTTTATGTAATTAAAATATAAATAAATGAAGAAAAATGTAATCGAATTCAATCAGGAATTTCAATCCTAAATATCCGTATTAAAACTGACTGCATAATTAAAAAATACTGTATTTAATCATTGGTTGCATTTGGCTTTTCTAGTAATATTAATTTAATCTTGAAAACTGTTATGTTCATTAATCATTATATCAAATTTAATCTATTAGAATAGTATGATTATTGTCTGAATACGGATATTCTGGTACAAAATTATTCTTTAAAACCAATTAACTTTTATCTTGTTTAACTTTTTTAACGATTTTTAAAGAGGTTTAATTGAACTACTAAGACATTTAATATATTTGAAAATTTAGACTCATTAATGGAAATCACTTTTTTAAGTACAGTAAATGGTCGAATCAATGACATAGAGTTAATCGCAAATTACGGCAATTGTCGCAATTATGGCGTCGAGCGGTAAAGACCCGTTTGATGCCACGCTAAACAGACATTATAAATGTCATCCTAGTGTAAAAGTGAGTGCAGTGCTGTGCATAGTTTGTGGTCATTTTTACCATACAAATGAAATAGTGACTAAATACGAGGGGTGGTCAATAAGTCTTTATAAAATCCAAGAGATGGCGCTCGTGACGCTCAAATTATGATGTTTTTGGCAAGCAATACTACTAACTAGATATCGTACAAAGTTTCAGCTCGATTCATTAAGTCGTTTTTTTGTGAGCGTTGGTTGAACAAAAAGTTATTGGGTTATTGAAAAATGGAAAAAACAGAGTTTCGAGCGGTGATAAAACATTTTCATTTGAAAGGCCTTACACCAAAAGAAATCACAGTTGAATTGAACGCCGTTCATGGCAAGTCTGCCCCTGTGTTTAAGACTGTTTATAACTAGGTAAATGAATTAATTTAAACGCGATCGTACAACAACAAAAGATGAACCTCGTTCAGGACGCCCCGTAGAAGTGAGTACGCCCGAATTGGTCAACAAAATCCACGATATGGTGTTGAGTGATAGAAGATTAAAATTGCGAGAATTAGTTGAGGCCACAGGGGTATCAAAGGGTACAATCATTTCAATTTTACATGAAAAATTGGGGATGAATTTATGATATATAAATTGGTCGCTTGCTAGTGAGCAGCAGACGCTCAATCGACAAAGAAAAGGCCCCGAAGAGGCAGGCACCGGTGGCAGAAGGCTCTCTTCCTCGATCCTCAGACTATCGAAGTTCTCCGCTCCTGGATATTGTCGTCAATTACGTCGCCGCAAGCTTGAGTCTCGAGAACAAAGGTGTCCGTTGATTTTTGAAAAAGAACAATATCTCTCGGTGATTCGATTCTTGTTTTTGGAAGGGAAATCGCGCTGTGAAATTAAAGAACGCTTGGATGCAGTGTATGGGGATGCTTCTCCTTTAATGGCAACCGTTAAAAATTGTTATAACGAATTTGTTTATATTTAATTGTTATAACATGGTCGTACGTCGGGTTTGAATGATCCACGCCCAGATACTCTGAAAACAGCCACTACGGAGGAGAAAGTGACAAGAGTACACAATATCGTTTTATCAGATCACCGATTAAAGGTGCACGAGATAGCTGCGATAGTAGGCATCTCAGAAGAACGCGTATGGCATATCCTACATGAGATTTTGGGCATGAGGAAACTGTCAGCAAGGTGGGTGCCGCGTTTGTTGACTGCAGACAACAAACGCATCCGTGTGACCAGTTTAGAGCAGTGTTTGGAGCTGTTTAATCACAATCCAAGAGTTCTTGCGTCGTTACGTAACCGTCGACGAAACATGGATTCACTGGTACACTCCAGAGACCAAGGAACAGTTAAACCAGTGGACTTTATCCGGTGAGTCTGCTCCGAAGAAGGCGAAGACGGTTCCGTCGGCCAGAAAGGTGATGGCCACTGTTTTCTGGAATTCTCAAAGTGTGATTTTTATTGACTTCCTGGAGAAGGACAAAACGATCACAGGACAGTACTACATCGAACTATTGAGCCGATTTGACGCCGTATTAAAAGAAAAACAGTCCCATTTGTCTAAAACGAAAGTGCTTTTCCATCACGATAATGCACCGGCTCACACCTCTACAGTAGCCACGACTAAATTGGTCGAATTACACTATGAACTGCTGCCCTATCCTCCATATTCTCCAGATTTAGCTTCGTGCGACTTTTTTTTGTTTCCGATAAATCTCTCTCTTATTATGGCAGACTTGCGACTGCATTGGTATAAGTTTAGGTATTATTGTGTATAGCAAGGCATTTATTCGCCTGCTACACTGAGTTTCATTGCTCAAGTAGCGGCTCCTTAGGTTAAGTTTCGGGCGAGAGGTTACAATTTACCAATGTGTTAATCCAACGGGCAGTTTGGCTTTCTTTAGATATTTCGTTAGATTTGGGGTTTGCTTCTCTTGTTTCGATTTAAAATTTCAAGGCGTTTTCTTATTTATCTATTAAGTAGGGTAAAGTTAATCGAACAGTTTAAGTAGTTATTTCATAGTCCGATCTTTCCCATTGACCTGTCCGCCTGCCCCTTCCCCCTTTCGCCGATGGTTAAGATCAAGTGCCTCTTCTATTCCCCCTTTCTAAAAAATTGGTAACGCGAAGCAATTTTGTTACAAAGCAAACGAGATAAAAAGAAAAGTACAAGTAAAAAAGAAACGCGGACATACAAAAATTAAATAATGGATTAGGCGGGATTACGATGGTGACGCTAATTCACCTAATCGCGCTGATGAAATTATTGGCAGATTGTTCGGTAATCTTTTTTCCCGAAACTCGATAAATATATAACCGATGCTAGGGCCAGCAGAACTGTTCGGTCACATATACGTAAGCGCGGTATCCGACATGCAAGAAAAGGAGAGAGAGAGAGGTAGAGAGAGAATACGGGAACCAACCTTTGCGATCCAGCGATCACCTACTGGTTGCTGTTCCTCATGCCGCTACCGCTACTGCTGCCAACCAATGCTCCTGTCGTTCTCGGTACCACTTCTATCGCTACCGCGCGGTTGCTGGCCATTACTATTTTCCGCTCCGAAGAAAAGGGTGCCCGTGCGTCGTCCACGCGAATCGTTGACGAGATCTTTAAACACTTTGGTGCCGGGGTTCAACACTGGTTAGGCGCGACCTAGCCTCGAAACACAAAAAACAACAAGCGGGTCTGTATCCACAAATGCACAAACTTCAACTAACAACTAGGCCGCGTCCGAAACTCAAAAATTGAATCATTGAAAACGAACAAAAATCGGCGACGCGTACGATGCAACAATCCAATGCATACTCCCGCAAATTATCTTTCCTGTCAACTCTCCCTCCTTACCTTCCTTAATCCCGCGTTCGCCGTCTCTCTTCATCTGCCGTCATCGTCGTTGTCGAACCGTGATTCTCCTTTAGAAAATATTGTAGAAATTTTGCGTAGACTACCTAAAAATAAGAAAAATTATAATTAGCATTCTAGAAACGTTTTAGTAATCTTATTCTGTAAATAAAAGCAGGCATCTTGTACATATTGGCAATATATCTGTAACATTTTTCGGTTGAGAAAAAGGTTAGCAATGTTAAAACAGTGTGGTTGTAATAATATTTTGAGAACAGTTCTTGCTCCTTAAAATAGACTGAAAGAACTCAGCATAAAATTCATGATAATAATTGTTTCAGAAAAATTATAGAAAGACTGCACGTTGTTAGCAGGACAGTAAAATCGATTAATAATTCTGTGTAATTTAATTTTCATTATTAGAAAGTGTCCAAAGTTAATAACGATATATTTATCATTGTATCTGTGTCATTTAAACAATTTTTCTATAGAAATAAATATATATATTCATTAGTAAAAATTACGCAATTTGCTGCACTATCGATTTCATGATTACGTAGATGCTTTATTAATGCATAAATACCATGAAAAATAAGTGCGTAGATATTGCGCTAAAGAACGTTATTTTGTTAAGATATGATAACAAATTTTATTAAATTAACTATGAACAATTCATCAGTTTACTTTTCATAAATATAGTGATTTGTATACTGATGAAATTGTACAATAATAAAGGAACATTCAATACAATGCATGGCATCTTTACTATTATAATGTATAAGAAAACAGGATTAAGTGAACATTATTAGTTAGATAACTAAAAGTGAGTGTATAAAATAAATATTGTCTTTTTGTAACAAAAGAATTGATCTTTGATTAAAATGGGTAATATATTAAAATTTACAAGAGCTGTACCAATAGGAATGGATTCATTTCTTAAATAACCTTTAATGTTTATTCTCCATAAAAAAATTTTTTTAACTTAGATAAGTCTGGGAGTACTTAACATTATGATATGAGTATTAGTCGTTATTGAGAAACGAACTCATTCCTATCGGTATAACTCTAGCACAGACATTCTTGGGAGGATGTTATGTGAGGATAGTTGACATTGTAGGTTATTTGAAAAATAAGCCATCCGTAAGATTACAGCCCTTCTGTCAGCATATCTACTGATCTTCCAGAGATATATACCATTTAATAAATAATAATATACAATTTTTAACCGATAGTTATGATATTTTTATATAGAATAGAAAAATTGTGCGTGATTTTTTCTAACAATTCAACATATTCATTTCTATAAAAGTCTCGATAAAACGTTTTCAAATTCCTACTGATTTGGAAAGCATTAACTTGTGGAAAGTTTTTATTAACGAAATTATTATTAAGTTTTTATATTCTTGCTAATCATGTGCAGTGTTTCTATAATATTTTTAAGTTGATTTTCGTCGATTTTTGGCAAAATTTGTAGGATTAACGAATCCGCTAAATTTTTTAATCCTCCTATTTCTACATTTATAAAACAAATATTTTAAAGTGTAATAATTTCATCATTTTTTAAAAATAGAATTATTATGCCTCTAGGTTGAAATAATTGTCGAAGACGTAAATGACAATTCACCAGTATTTGCATCAGATATCATTGGGATTTCGGTCGCAGAATCACATCCTATTCAAACCAGTTTATATGTCGCTCACGCAATCGATCGCGATATAACTCCAGTCAAACCCATTCGCTTTGGCCTTAGTCAGAATAGCAATGAAATTTTCGAAATAAATGCGGAAAGCGGTGAAGTATATCCTCTGCGTCCTCTTGATTATGAAACGCAACAACGACATAGACTGGTAATAAATGCTTTTGATGGTGGCGGTCTTTCAACTAATTTCAGTATTAACATAGATATTCAGGATGTAAATGATAATCCTCCAATTTTTGAAAGAAATGAATACTACGTTGAAATAACAGAGAATGCTAAACTTGGAATGCAGGTACAGATACTATATATCATCATTAAACACGAAAATGCTTATACCTTGAATTCTAGTTAGCCAATCATATAAATGAAAAATTAAATAAGTGATTGTAACTGTTTATAGATAATACAAGTAACGGCAGTGGATTTAGATACTGGAAACAACGCACAATTGAGCTATCGGCTGGAAGAAAATATAAATTTATTCCGCATGAACACAAATACAGGCTGGATTTCGCTGGCTGGTCAACTAGACCGTGAACATCTGGAGCGCTACAATGTTACGATATTAGCGAGTGACAATGGTTCACCAGTAGCTACGGCCAGCACCACACTCGTCATCAATATTCTTGACGAAAATGATAACGAACCTCACTTTCATAGTGAATTCTACCATTTTGAACTTTTGGAAAATCTATCTCCAGACGTTATTATTGGCACCGTTTGCGCTGTCGATGCCGATATTGGCAGCAACGCAGTTATCAGATATACCATCGTGCAACCTACCAGTAGCTTTATTATCGACCCTAATACAGGTGCGTTCATTTGCTTCACTTTTACTATTTCCTCTTATTTTTTCTCTAGGCAATTATCCCAACGATCGACCTTATGAAACATGGCATCATTGTTTCTCTACCAAATATATAGGTTAATTAAAAAAGACAATGTGTTACAGGTGAATTAAGAGCACTTGAAACTCTTGATCGGGAAATAAAAGCTGTTCACGAGCTAATAGTTGAGGCAAGAGACCAGGGTACACCATCCCGAGCATCGCGCATACCGGTAAAAGTAACTGTACTTGATGTGAATGACAACTCACCAGAGATTGTTGATCCTCAAGGCGATGTAGTAAGTGTACGCGAAGAACAAATGCCCAACACTGAAGTTGCTCGAGTCAGAGCATTTGATAACGATCTAGGTGAAAACGCAACTATAACTTACTCCATTCTCAAAGGTACGAATGATATATTAAGCATGTGAGGGTTGCGGTTTTATAAATTGGCTTAGGCTTTGGTCCACAGTTACTGTCAGAATTACTTAACAAAATTATAAAAATTTCTCTCAATATTACATTTTTTAATGAATTTTACTCCAAAATTTCAATTAATGTCTTTATGAAGTATATTTCATGAAAATATAGGAATATAACGCATGAAAGAAGTTTTGTCAAAAATTTAAACAAACGTTTTTAACACGTAAAAAAATACTTCTTTGTACAATCACATTAAATAATATAAAAAAATCTATAAATACTCTAAATGCAAAGGAAATTTGCATTTTTAGAATCCGTTGCATACTTCATGTAGAAGTTTATGTTGAAATCGATAACCAAGTGATAATTATAGATAATGAAATACGACTTTATCGACTATCAATTTGAAAAATGACAATTTTATTTGTTTCAGACCATGATTCAGATGGATACAACGTTTTCAGAATAGACCCGATTAGTGGTATGATTAAAACAATGGTTGTATTAGATCACGAGGAGCGCAACGTTTATCGATTGTCTGTGAAAGCGAGCGATGGAGGTCGACCATCAAGATACAGCGTACGTGCATTTCGTGTTGAGGTTCTTGCTTTAACAGATAATCGACCAACATTTACCAGCGGAAGCCTCAGTTTTAAGGCAAGTTGAGTAGATTTATATCTTATGAGCCAATGAAAATGAATGGGAACAAAAAAAATTCGTCAGTAACTATTGAGATAACATTGATGACATAGCTTCGACGTATAGCAAAGGAAAGTAACAAATTTTAATCAATGTTTTATTTGGTTGTTAGGTACGGGAAGATGCCAACATAGGTCAAGTGGTGGGTTCAGTTTCTGGAGGAGGGGTAGCCAATCGAGTCGCATACACATTGTACTCCCTAAGGCCGCTGGGCCAAGGAGATTTAGTAGCGTTCGACGTAGATCGATTTTCGGGGCAGTTGGTTGTTGCAACTTCTCTGGACCGTGAAATTGTGGCCGAGTACCAACTCGAGATCCGCGCTTTGGACACAAGTTCGGTTGGCAACCCACAGAGTATGGCCGTCTCGGTAAGGATTGAAATCGAGGATGCAAACGACAACCCACCTCGTTGGCCCCAAGATCCCATTTTCATTGAGGTCTCAGAGCATGCACTTGTCGGCTCGAACATCTACAACTTTACGGCAACTGACCTTGATCAGGGTGCCAACGGCGAGGTGCACTATAGCCTTGTTTCTGAGATACCGCCCACAGGTAGTTTCGCCATCGACCCATTAACGGGTGGACTAACACTCGTGCATCCATTGGACCGCGAGGAGCGCTCCGAGTTTACACTTGTTCTAGAGGCTAAGGATCAAGCACAGCTCGATGAACGGCTTACCGCCACTGTTTCTGTTCGTCTCCTCGTGCTCGATGTCAATGATAACGAGCCGTATTTCGTTGTGCCGGATGATCCAAAAGTTCCACTACTTCTAACCACCGACGTCTCTCCAGGTCTGTCCGGAGATCTTACACGACCGTCCGCCCATTCACTCGCTCACGCCTCTACTTCAGAATTCTTTAACCCTGCTGTTTGTTATAGGTGCGCTGCTGCTTCAGGCAATTGCTATTGACGAGGATATGGGTGAAAATGGTCGAGTATCTTATACTATAACCTCGGCCAAGGATGTTAGCTACGTTGCCGTAGACAGCAAAAATGGCGAGCTCACTCTACTGAAGCCGCTACATCAGAGCTCTATTGACATCGAACTGACGGCCAGCGATCATGGCTCTCCACCGCGAAGCACAACTGTTAAACTTACACTCAGAACCACGTCCCAGCAACCGCAAAATCAATTGCCCCGGTTACTGCTACCCAAACTAATGATCCAAGTCTCTGAAAACCTGCATGTTGGCTCTGACTTGATCAACGTTGCTGCTGCTACGTTAGCTGATCAAGGTAACGCTCACGTGCGACTTCTATCCCTTTCTTTCGACAACGCAACCAATACATCTTCTTTGATAATATGGCATACTGATAATATTATTATCAATATTGCAATTTCTTATTTAGCAACTTTTTACGGCAAATAGCGCTATTAGTATATAATTTATCTTCAACAGTAATAGATAAGCATTCGATTGACGATATTTTAAGAAATCAGAAAGCTAAAAATGAAACATTCTACAAATACGTGAAATAATTTATATTCTTAAAGAGAAAGCATTGTTTTAGTGATTTTTTCTAAAAAATTGTTTATTTAAAAAAATTGGTATTGTTCGTTCAATTTTTATTTTTATCAATAATATATTGCATTTATTATTAATAATTACTTTGATGCACTAGGTAGGTTAGCGAACCATGAGGACGGAGCGTACCTATTTATAATAATTATGAACAATAATGATAATAGTTAATGTAATTAAAAAGTATTATAAAAAATAAAAAATAAATAAGAGTACGAGGCTTGTCGGGAAGTATCGAGCCCTTCGTTATATCTCCACGCTGGCGCTATTCTTCATCATCGGGAGGGTGGCATCCTTGAAAGTAATTCCCACTTGATTCAATAACATGGTTCTAGCGATGTTTCCACTTTTCAAGAACTTTGAAACTCACTTTTAGGAATGGTCGTCACATTATTTTTAACCGTCCTTTTGTTATCGAATCACTGTCGTTTGAATGATTTTATGAGTTTTAGAAACAGCCCGTAGTTACAGGGGGCTATGTCGAAACTGTACGGAGGTTGTTGAAGCAATGTGACACTGTATTTACTTAGAAATTGCTGCACAATATATGATGAATGCACTGGCGCATCATCGTGATCGAGAAGCCAGTCACCACTTGATCAAAAGTTCTGGCGTTTTTTGTTCACTATTTTACACAAAAATTTCAAAATGTGAACATAATATTCATCATTGATTGTCTGACCTATCGGCGCATACTTGTGGTGTACAGCACCTTCACAAATGAAAAAAAACCAAACAGCATTTACTCAACATTGTTTCGACTTGGATTTACATTTTCTGGTCCAGAATGCTTCCACTTGAAGACTGTTATTTTATTTCCGGATTATAACCATAATTCTTTCCCAGTAATAACCTTTTTAAGCATAGTGTTATCGTTATTACCTTTATTAAGTTGTCCTGAGCGATTTCGAAGCGGACCTTGTTTTGCTCTGCACTGAGCAATTTCGGAATGAACTTCGCATATACATTTAAGATTAAACTTTCCTAAATTGAAGCTTTTGGTATTACAAGGTATTCTTCTAGTTCCCGTACAGTAATACGACGATCTTGTTCATCGCAAGTCGCACCCGCTTAATATTATCCAATGTTTTTGTCGTCAAAAGTCGGCAAGAATGAGAATCACTATCAACAGAAGTACCGTCTCCTTTGAAACAATTATACCACTCTTTTATTCATGTTTTTCTCATACACGCACTTCCAAAGGCCTTCTGCATCATGAATTCAAAAATAGTTTTGTAAGGAAAGACAACTGGGCATGAACTATATGTCCGCAAGCAACTATATGATTAGATGTCAGCAAGCAACCGTCCGCTAAAAAGTTTTTTTTGTCATAGCACATCTAACAAGGAAACTATCTCAGGTGTACTTCATCCAGTTTCTTCATTTTTAGATATTGTAACAGGGGGAGAATTAGTCGTGCAAAAGGGAAAAATAATAGTCCACAATCCCACGGTGCAGAGCTAACTGCCGCTCTGTTAATTACGGGTATACGTGTCTTCACCTTTAGATTTATCACTTCGCTCCAACTTCAAATAATGCTCAATAGTAAACTCAATTTAAGTCACTTGATTACTGACTATTGTCACTCATACCGTGTAAACAGGCTTATGTTTACTTTTAACAATCTGCTATATTAAATCAATTCAAATAATGGGATTGGACTGAGTGTTAGTCAGGGAGCTAAAGATGATGAAATGGCAATTTAAGCTAAATCCTTTTAATTAGCTTGACTATACAACTTTAATACAAACCGAAAGTCGATCGCGCGTGTACAGATTTACAGTAAGCGCCGAGAATAAGACGCGAACTAACGCTCGGCGCGGCGTACTTAAAAGGTTATTCGGCGCGTACACTACCTACCTCGCGGTACTATTTAATGTGAAAGTCGCGGTTAGGGTAGGTGCACCTACCGTGAGTTGCGGTTAAGGTGATCAGCTGTACCATTAGTGAATTGGTGGATAACTGGGAGCTCCTAATCCACACAGAGGTAGCTACTGCGCGCTGGTTGCTGCCAGCCAGTATTACTGACAGATGCTGTTGGTTGCTGCTAATTGCAGCTGGAGTGATGGTTGCTCCGAAACTAAACGGACACTTATACCGCTGTCTGATTTTCTGCTCATGTAACCCCAATGACACTCACACAATTTTCGCTTGGATATTTTTCAAATCATAACACCTCTTCTTTTGTTCTTTTGTAAGCTCTAAGGATACTGCTGATACTTCTCGCGCGCATCCCCTCTCTCCAAATCGCTAGCTCGCGTGCCCCAAATACTACGGAATCGCCAACGAATCGATACTTTTAATCGATTACCATTGTAATATATTGTAGTGCATTGAAAAATATTTGGCCTGTGTCTTTTCGTTCATGCTAATTTGGTGAAGGGATAAACACCAACTCCAAAGTTAACACCCAAAACTAGTTTTTTCTATATTTTTCGAAAATTTTCGAATTTCTAGATGAAACGAAGTAAAAGTTATTTATTATTTAAAAACAAGTATTTGTGTATTATTTTCATCAATAAAAGTTGCATTCCCTATTTTTTATAAAATAAAGTGATATATTTTGACACTTTTTTCTTTATAACAATTCTAAGATTGGTCGAATTTGAAAAGAAATCATCGCATTATAAATAAAATAAAAAATAAAATATACTTGAAAATTTGTCCAAAACATCCCATAGACTACAGTAATTCTAACAACACACTAAGACCCAACAATAGCATCAGAAATAATCCAAAAGTACATTGATAATCATCTTTAAAATTGATTCAACTCATGGGGAATAATAGTAAACGAAAGTAAATCAATACATACAACGTTTACACTTCGAAAAGATACCTATCCACCTATTAGTTTAAACGATAAATACATAGCGCAAAGTAACCAAGTAAAATATCTAGGTATTTACTTGGACCGAAAGTTTACGTGTTAAGAACACATATTCACTAAACGTAAACAGTTGGGACTAAAATGGAGAAAAATGTACTGGCTCATAGGAGGAAAATCGGAAAACAAATTACTGCTATATAAAGTTGTACTCAAACCAGTCTGGACCTATGGCATTTAACTATGGAATGCTGCTTCAAGCTCGAATATTGAAATCTTGGAAATATGTCAATTAAAAGTACTACGTAGTATAGTACGGGTCCCGTGGTTCGTTCCTAATAAAATAATCAGAAATGATCTACAGATTCCAACAGTCAAGGAAGAAATCGAAAGTTTCACGCTAGATACAACAGATGTCAAAAACACCCGAATAAACTCATCAGCAATCTTCTCAAGATTTCTATTACAAACACGAGATTAAAGAAACATAATCTATTAAGCGCATAAATAAACTGATGTAAATATCATAATCACACTGTAAAGCAAAGACAGATTACTCGCTAGAGTATTCTGTCAAACAAGATGTACACTATTATTTTTTTTAAATTGTAATTCCATTTGTTTATTGTCTTAATAAGTGAGACATATTGTAAATATTATTAGGAAGTAAATAAAAAAAATCTCATAGAGCAGGTGAAGTACCCTAACTGAGCTATTTTAATATTTAATGTTGCAGCTGAATATCGTCAAAATCAACGTATTATATTCAAGTTTATAATTAAAATTTATGTGATCCGGAATTTTTCAGTAATAACCCAACGTAGGGAGTAACACCTACAAAATTACAACCCTAATCATGTATTTTTCTATTTCTGAGGAACCGCTTCGAGTTTCTGAATAAAACAAAATAAATAATAATTTATGTTTAATTTATGCAAGTTTTTTTTTCATTTTGTTTAACATCGCTCTATTTATGCTCCATCAGTGCTAATTAGCGACGGAGGCTTGCAATGTGTTCGAGAACAAAGCACATGAAACTTTTTTCAGTGGTGCTTGTATCAATCAGCAGGGACTTGGGAATCGAACCGGGGCCTACCGGGTGCGAGTCCGTCGCCCTACTGAGCGAGCCATTGCAGGCTTCAATTTATGCAAGTATTTATGCAATATTTTTAAAAGACTTTTTCCCGTGATCATGGACAAGTAAACGTATTTTTAATTTTGTTTATAATACAGTGACTTTTCATTGACATAATGAATTTTTCAATTATAATAGCGTATAAACTGACGAAAGATTTATTTATTTTTTTTTTTATGAAAAAGTGATCCTTACGCGTAGAAATATTGCATGAATGATTGACATCAAACAATAATTATTATCTCTTTTGTTTCATTTAGAAACACAAAGCGATTCCAGAGAAATTAAAAAATACATAATTAGGATTGTAATTTTGGTGGCGTATTGCCTTCTAAGTAGAGTTTTTTCTAACAAATTCTAGACCACACAAATTTTAATTATAAACTTGAATATAATACGTTGATTTTGATGATATTCACCTGGAATATTAAATTATTAAAATAGCTTAGTTAGGAGTAATTCACCTCTTTTAAGGAATGTTTTGGATAAATTTACAATTATATTTTATTTCTTAATTTTATTTATAATGCAACGATTTCATTCCAGATTCGACAAATTTTAGAATTGTTATATAGGAAAAGGTGTCAAAATTTTTTCTCTTGTAAGAACAAGGGAATGCAACCGTTATTGGTGAAAATAATACACAAATACTTATTTTTGAATAGCAAATAATATTTACTTTATTTTACCGAGAAATTTAAAATATTTTCTGAGAAATGTAGAAAAAACTATTTTACAAGGTAATAGCTAC